TGTGTATCGACACAACTGCCTGTGTGTTGCCTGTGTATCGACACAACTGCCTGTGTGTTGCCTGTGTATCGACACAACTGCCTGTGTGTTGCCTGTGTATCGACACAACTGCCTGTGTGTTCGACACAACTGCCTGTGTATCGACACAACTGCCTGTGTGTTGCCTGTGTATCGACACAACTGCCTGTGTGTTGCCTGTGTATCGACACACACACTGCCTGTGTGTTGCCTGTGTATCGACACAACTGCCTGTGTGTTGCCTGTGTATCGACACAACTGCCTGTGTGTTGCCTGTGTATCGACACAACTGCCTGTGTGTTGCCTGTGTATCGACACAACTGCCTGTGTGTTGCCTGTGTATCGACACAACTGCCTGTGTGTTGCCTGTGTATCGACACAACTGCTGTGTGTTGCCTGTGTATCGACACACAACTGCCTGTGTGTTTGCCTGTCGACACAACTGGCCTGTGTATCGACACAACTGCCTGTGTATCGACACAACTGGCTGTGTATCGACACAACTGCCTGTGTATCGACACAAACTGCCTGTGTATCGACACAACTGCCTGTGTGTTGCCAACTGCCTGTGTGTCGCCCGTGTATCACACAACTGCCTGTGTGTTGCCCGTGTATCGACACAACTGCCTGTGTGTTGCCCGTGTATCGACACAACTGCTGTGTGTGTTGCCCGTGTATCGACACAACTGCCTGTGTGTTGCCCATATATTACCCCAACTGCCTGTGTGTTTCCCATATATTACCCCAACTGCCTGTGTGTTGCCCATATATTACCCCAACTGCCTGTGTGTTGCCCATATATTACCCCAACTGCCTGTGTGTTCCTATGTATTACAACAACTGTCTGGATGTTGCCCCTGTATTATCACAAATGCATGTGAGGGGAATATGTATTACCACAACTGCCTGTGCGTTGCATATGTATTAACACAACTGCCTGCATTTTGCCCTTTTATTACCACAATGGCTTGTGTGTTTCCTATGCATTAACATTGTATGTGGCCCATCTCGTATCACAACTGACTGTGCATTGCCTGTGTATTGCCTGTGTATTGCCACAGTGTAGTGCTACACTGCTATCTGTGTTAGTATGTGATCAAAGTAGTGCTGTTTTGGGGACTATTTTATCAGTCTACCATCCCCTGCAATAGTCTGGTGTTATACTGTAGCTATGCCCAATAAAACATATTTTGGCCATGTTGTAATTTAGAGCTGTGACTTCCCACCAAAATCTTAGGATCAACATTAGGTTGCATCAACCAATCTAAATTCATCTTTCAGTCATCTGATTTATCTTCTAAAAAGAAATGTGAATGGTTGCTATTGGTTACTTGACCTTGTAAATATTTCTTGTTTTTTTAATGCTTTACTTAAGAATCCAATGTGTCTTCTAATTCTAGTGTGTTCTTTGAGAGTTAATAGCATTCGAAATGTCATAAAAACGCACAATAAATTAAATGTTGAACTCCACTTTTGAAAAAAAAATTCAAAAATATGCATGAGGTCAAATTCAAGTTCTGCTTTCAACACTATACCATGATGATTCGTTAAAAACAGCATGAAACTCAGAGGTCTGCCAATTATTTCCCCATAGCTTGTCTGACTGCTGCTTTACAACCCAGCACTGCCTAGGCAACACCAGTCAGAGGGGATGTCAGACCAAAGGAGGATGAAAAAGATGTTGAATCCTCAAGGAAGAAGGCTGAGACCTTTAAGACAAAGAAAAACATGTAAACATGCCTTACGTGAATTAAGGAAGAGGTTGATTAAATTTGAACTTTTAAAAGGTGCTTGCTAGTGTTTTGCTGGAAATGAGACTGATTGTATGATATTCCAGTTCTCTAGAAAGGCAACACACTGAATATATATTCATTTTTATTGCACCACTTTTCAAATCATATTGATGCATGGTTTGAGAAGATTTATATTAGGCCAATGGGTATACATTTGCTGCAGAATTATTTTCTGATTTATTTATAAAGAAATGGCATAGTGAAATCTGTGCGCCATTTCCACATATGCTACTTTTAGGAGTCTGTTTGTTAGCTGTCTTCTACCACATTTATAAAGGATCAAAAAGGTAACTGGCTTACAGGAAAAACCGAGAACAAACGTGATGTATTTTCAAGAAAATGGTATCTATTTTTAGTAAAAACAGTGAGCACGCCTGATAAACTGGAGCAAACCTGAGAAACTTAAAGGATGTGGGAGAGGGTGTATTAACCACTTGACCTCCAGAAGGTTTTACCCCCCCCCCCCCCCCTTCCTGTCCAGGGCATTTTTTGCTACGCGGCACTGCGCTTCTTTAACTGGTAATTGTGCAGTTATGCAATGATGTACCCAAACAACATTTATATAATTTATTTCACAAAATAGACCTTTCTTTTGGTGGTATTTGATCACCACTCGGTTTTTAATTATTTGGAATGTAAATGAAAAAAGACTGAATTTTGAGGACAATAAACTCACATTTCGTGTGAGAAAGTTATAGCGTGTACAAACTATGGTATATTTACTGGAATTTATGCAGCTTTTACTTTCTGACCGCCTCACATTTCTTGAGGTGTTAAAATGTCAGGGCAGTGCAAACAACCCCCAAATGACCCCTTTTCAGAACGTAGACACCCAAACTATTTGCTGAGAGGCATGTTGAGTCCATGGAAGATTTAATTATTTTCCACAAGTTTTTTTTTTTTTTACACAAAGTTGTCAATTAATGATATATTGCTCACACATGCCATAGGTATATGTGGAATTACACCCCAAAATATATTCTGCTACTTCTCTCAAGTATAGGGATACCACATCTGAGACTTTTTGGGAGCCTAGCCACATACAAGAGCCCAAAATCACCCATTTGAAAGCCTAAAGGTGCGTAATTTTCTCATTTCACTTCCTCACTACCTATCACAGTTTCAGAGGGTCTGAAATCCCAAGATAGTCCAAGAACCCCCCCCCCCTCCAAATTACCCCCTTTTGGAAATTAGACGCCACAAGGAATTTAATAAGAGGCATGGTGAGTATTTTGCAGATCTAATTTGTCACACTTTTTTAAAAAAAAATAATATATAAAAAAAATGTAATAATTAAGAAAAAAAATACATTTTCATTTTCTTTCTTCATTTTCCAAAAACTTGTAGAAACAAATGAGATCTGCAAAATACTCACCATGCCTCTTAGCAAATACCTTGAAAAATTACATTGAACTCCCAAACATTATATATTTTTTTTAAAGCAGAGGCCCCAGAGAATAAAATGGTGGGTGATTTTAGTTGTATTGTCACACAGTACCTGCACAGTGATTTTTTTAAATGCAATTTAAAAAAAAAAATTGTAATTTTAATGCACAAAAGCGCAATATATTGGCCAATTGTTTGGTAAAGTATAAAAGATGATGTTATGCAGAGTACATAGACAGCAAACACAGCATACTTTAAAACTGTGCATGCCCCATGCAACGACGACAAACTACATACATTTTTAACCACTTGCCCTCCGGAGGATTTACCCCCCTTAATGACCAGGCTTCTTTTTGCTACTCGGAGCTGCACTAATTCAACTGATAATTGCGCGGTCATGCAATGCTGTACCCAAACAAAATTTTACATCCATTTTTCACACAAATAGAGCTTTCTTTCGGTGGTATTTGATCACCTGTGCGTTTTTATTTTTTGCGCTATAAACAAAAAAAAAGACTGACAATTTTGAAGAAAACAATATTTTTTACTTTCGACTATAAAATATAAAAATATATATAGTAAACTCAAAGTTAGTCATAAATTTAGGCCAAAATGTATTCTGATACATGTTTTTGGTAAAAAAAATCCAAATACGTGTATATTGATTGCTTTGTGTGACAGTTATAGCATCTACAAACTATGGTTTAGATAATACAATGTACACCATTTTTTTTCCTATACAGCACTGCACTAGTTTAACTGACAATTACGCAGTCATGCAATACGATACATAAATTAAATTTATGTCCCTTTTTTCACACAAATAGAGCTTTCTCTTGATGGTATTTGATCACCTGTGTGCTTTTTATTTTTGGCGCTATAAACAAAAAAAGTTTTGAAAAATGTATTTTAAAAAACCCAATATTTTCTCATTTCTGTCATAAAAAATATCCAAAAAACTAAAATTTTGTCATAAATTTAGGCCAAAATGTATTCTGCAACAAGTCTTTGCTAAAAAAAAATCCCAATACATGTAAATTAATTGGTTTACATGAAAGTTATAGTGTTTACAAATGGCGGTATAGATACTAGATTTTTTTTTTAAATACTAATAGCGGCGATCAGTGACTTATGGCGGCAATCAGCGACGTATGGCGGGACTGCGACGGACAATCTGACACTGAGGAGGAACTGACTTGGGGTCACTGACATCCCCAGTGACACCAATACAGTGATCAGTGCTAAAAAGAAGCACTGACACTGTATTAATGGCACTGGGGAGGAAGGGGTTAACAATGAGAGGCAATCAAAGGGTTAATTGTGTGATAGGAGTGTTTTACTAAGGGGCGGGGGTGTGTGCTTCACTGTAAGCACACTGCTCGGGAGGGCTGTGCCCAGCTGTCCCAAGCAGTGTGCCCAAACTGACAGGGAGGAGAGCTGCATTGTAAACAATACAGCCCTCCTCCCGGTCGGTGTTTGCCGGTAAACACCGGGCTCCGGCTTATAATCACCAACCGGGACCCGGTTATTGACTCCTGGGGCCGCGATCGGTGGTGGGGGTAGGGCAGGCATGCCTTGCACGTGCCCCCTACCCGTAAATGCAGGATCACGTTTATATACGTGATCCTGAGCACAGGGTCCACCTTGCCGCAGTATATGTACTATGGGCGGTCCCCTAGTGGTTAACCACCTCCCGCCCACCATATAGTAATATGATGGATGCAAGGTGGTTCTCTCGTTCTGGGAGGACGTCATATGACCTCCTCCCATTCTAACCGTGCATGCGTGGCAATTGGCAGTACGCTGTGTCCCTCGGACACAGCGGATCACCGATCCATGGAAAGAGCTGAAGATGTCGGCTCGGTCATGTGATCAGCTGTGTCCAATCACAGCTGATCACATGTAAACAGGGAAATGCCGGTTATCGGCATTTCTCTCCCCACGAGCTGCCACGCTGACAGCTCGTGAGGAGAGGAGAGCCAGTAATCGGCATTCCTCAGAGGGGACATCTACATAGATCATCAGAACACTGATGATCAGTGTGCCCTGATGATCAGTGTAGCCCTAGCAGTGCCACCTGTCAGTGTCCATCAGTGCCAGCTCTCAGTGCTCATCCATGCCACCTGCCAGTGCCACATCAGTGCCACATTTCAATGTCCATCAGTGTCAGATCAATGCCACATATCAGTGCCCATCTGAGCTGCCTCTCAGTGTCACCCATCAGTGCCACCTATCAGTGCTGCCAGTCAGTGCCACCTATCAGTGCTGCCAGTCAGTACTACCTATCAGTGCCAGTCAGTGCTGCCTACCTGCCTAGTGCTGCCTATCAGTGCCTGTCGGTGCCGCTTTTCAGTGCCGCCTATCAGTGCCACCTATCAGTGCCATATATGAGTGCTGCCATTCAGAGCCCATCAGTGATGCCTATCAATGCCCATCAGTGCCACCTACCAGTGCCTCCTCATCAGTGCCACCTATCAGTGTCCATCAGTGCAGCCTATTGGTGCCCATCACTGCAGCCTCATTAGCGCACATCAGTGAAGGAAGAAAAAAATCACTTATTTACAATATTTTATAACAAAAACTAAGCAAAAAATTTTTTTCTAAATTTTCAGTGGTTTTTGGTTTGTTTAAAAAAAAATAAAAAACCCAGAGGTGATTAAATACCACCAAAATAAAGCTCTATCTGTCACACAAAAACGATAAAAATTTAATATGGGTACAGTGTTGCATGACCGCGCAATTGTCATTCAAAGTGCAACAGCACTGAAAGCTGGAAATTGGCCTGGCCAGGAAGGGTTTATAAGTGCTCTGTAGGCAAGTGGTTTAATATCCATAGGCAACATTAAAAGCGTTTACAGGTTACCACTTTAGATTTACTCAGGAGGTCTAGTGCTAGAAATACTGTCCTCAATCTGACGTTTGCAGCGATAGTTCGAATGCATGGGGCAACTGCTGTTTACATACTGACACGGGACCAATGCTTGCTTTTGCCTTTGCGCGCAAGTGTTGGGTGCTTTAATTTCTTTTAAATTTGTTTTGTTTTTACACTGTTCCTTTCATTTTTTTAACACTTTTATTGTTATCACAGGGAATGTAAATATCCCCTGGGATAGCAATAGGCAGTGATAGGTACTCTTTTCTGAGAAATATGGAGTCTATTCAGGGGCGAACCAACTCATGGGGCCCCCGGGAAATAGGGGATAATGGGGCCCCTGTGTCCTTGCCCAAACTCCAAAAAACCTATGAAAAAGGTACCAGGAGCATCTCATGGGGCCCCTTACTGACCCCGGGCCCTCGGGCAGTGCCCGAGTTTCCAAATGGTCAGTCCACCCCTGAATCTATTAGACTCTAGATATCTCCTCTGCCCTTAAATCCTTAAATCATCTGATCACACCAATCTTTCCCAATTTAAAAAATGGCACTGTTTATATCTGGCAAAACCAAAGTGAAGAAATGCTCGTAGCCTATGGTTTTTTAGACTATAGAGATGATTGGAACTGTTCTGGTCTTCGATCAGCTCTATGGTCAGCTGACGGAAATGTCGGCTGCATTTTCAGGTTCCCCGATGTGTCAGGACAACCTGAGAAAGCCGTGGGAGGGGCATTTAATTAGCCAATAGGATTGCTTTTACATGAAAGCTGATCACTGGCTAAAAAAAATTATACCAGGATGATGCCTGTAGCTGCAGTCCCCTTCCTGGTATTACCACTGAGCCCTGGTTCACAGTGATGTGGTGCGGAATTCGCAGCGTTTTCCATGCGAATTCCGCACCGCATCACAATCACACCCTGTTCATGCGAACCAATGCAGGTGTGAATACCTATGCGATCCGATTCTAGCACGGACCAAAAAAGGGTCCTGCACGTTTTTTGGTGCGGTGCGAACCGAGCCATACAAAATGTATGGCTCTAATCGCACTGCGTACAAATCGCATATGATTTATACAGGAATGCGGTGCGGTTCCTGTGCGAATCACATGGGATTTACCCCACCTCTGTAGTGTGAACCTAGGCTGAAAGTCCAGTGATATACCAGTACATCACTGGACCTTGTTGGGCATATATAATGTTCTTTTTTTTATGCAACCTGTGGGCTGAATGAAAAAAGATAAATCTCTGCTAGAAAAAGTGTGTGGTATGCCCCTGCATCCACCCAGTTCTAATGTTGGTCACACATGAAATGCACATTTTTTTCGTTCAGCCCAAATCACTGCCAAAAAATGTTTTAAAAATATATGCCTAAGCACAGGAGTGAGCCACCCCAGGCCCCCGTGCTTGGGCATATATGTTTTTTTTTTTTCACTGTGGATAAGGTATATTTTGAGAGCACACCCTGTTGCTGTCAGAATAAACAGATCGGTGCTGCAGCTGAATGGCGTTTCTGCAAAGAAAACGACGATGGTTAACAATTCAACACAGTAACAATAGAACGTTAACCCAATAAAACAACTTTTTTAAATTGAAATCTGTGCCAAAAAATGTGAAAAAAATATGCCGATGCATATACCCACTGACCATCCCAGGCCCCAATGCTTGGGCATGTATGTTATTTTTTTAACTATGGATGATAAATCTCATCCAGCGGCGCTGCATGCACTAACATATATTCTGAGAGCACAGTAACAACAGTAACTCAATAAAATGACAACTATTTTTGGCTTTTTAATGTATTTTTTATGGGTTTTTTTTTCTTACTTTTAACTTTTTTTTTTTTTTTTTTTTTTACTTTAACTTTTTTTGTAAAACAGTAAACTTTCCAGATTTTAGGGCCATTCAAAATGCGATAGCCAGTTTCCTTACTACGTAACAACTTTTGAGACGCTGTGTAAATGTGTACCCTAGACTGTGCCATGCTGTACCTTCTACTAATACTCCATTAGTGTGTGGTAGTGACTTAAGCAGTCCTTGAGGCAGAGACCAGGTTGGCCAGGACAGGAGGGACAAAAAAAAGCGGGGTGTCACATCTAATTCTGTGTCTGCTACAGACACATCTTTTTTGGAGTGACTTTTGGGTTGGGGTTACAAGAATGGCATCAGAAAAATGCCTCTCATGCAACAGGCTCACTGCATTGGTTGTGGGTTTGGGTCACAGCACTTTTGGGATACAAATGGGACATGATAATTTTTTTTTACATTTTAGGAAGGATCCACTTGTCCAGTTGCTTTGTGACAGCATAAAAACATTGTATATCAATAAAATGAGCCAATTGAAATAAATATACAGACTTTTTTTGAACCAGCATCTGGCTTTATGGGAAACTAAGTATGGCTTCATCATCTGGTCACTAAAATCTACCGCTCGCATGTTAAGGTTATATTCATGGACACAGAGGGGCTTCTCAACAACACCAGTTGCCGTGCAAATTTGGACTGTCGTGTCTGTGTGAATGGAAGACAGGACAAAAACATCCAGTTTGCCCTTCCACTTCACTGCTAGCAATTTATTATTTCTCAAGCAGGCTTTCTTCCCCTTTCTAAGCCAAGTATTTGCAAGCCATTGGGGAAAGCCCCCGCGATTAGATTGCATGGTGCCACATGCGCCAATTTTAAGATTGTACAAATGTCTAAATAGTGGCATGCGTGTATAAAAATTGTCCATATATAAGTGGCACCCCATAAGAAAAAAGGGTGACACCAAGTCCCAAACTATCTTTTCCCTTGTAAATCCGATTGCATGCATAGCCTGTTGCACTCTCACAGCACTTATACATTTTGTTCCCATATCTGGCACACTTGCTGGGGAGAAACTGAATGCAAGACGGCCAAAAAAATTAATGAAGGACTCATCAACGCAGATGTTTTCCATGGGGTGTGTTGTCATGCATAAATCACATTATATTCTCATATCTATGCCTGGCCATGGCAGCAGAGAACCCCGGCATATGATGAATCGGGTGTGTGGACCAAAATGACTGCAACTCATTCTTTTTAGTAATGTTGAGAGGGTTAGTCTCAACAAAATTTTAAACTCGGAAACTGTAATAGGTTTCCATACAAATGGTTTGCCAAGGTATGAATTTGGGTTGGCACCAATAAATTGTGTGTATAAATTGCTTTGGTCTACAGTCAATCCATACAGATCTTCAGGGAAAAACAGCTCCAAACAATTAAGGGGAGTAGTTAAATTAGCTTTTTCCATCTGAATTTCGGGTTGGACATTAAATGGGGGGAAGTCCGGGTGCTACAGAATTTGTGGGCTGCCAAATAGAATTTGCAAGCACATCCAGAAGGACACTACGGGCTCTATGGGCCTGTGTTTAAATTTGTGGTGGCTGCGGGACACTACTTGTGCTAGCCATCGCACCAGCTTCTACTGCACTTATGGGGTGCGCCACTTTGCAAAGTGATCCTGAAAATGGTGGTATGAAAAAAAACCAGGATGTACTAGGCTGCTGGTACTTGCCAGTTCACCAAAAGGTATGAGAATCATCATGTGATTCTAACACCTCAGCATGGGGTCTGGTACACCTGACCTTAGCAGGGACTTCTGCTCCATTGTCCCTTCAAAGGACTACACTGGGGCTCTTGTTTGGGCAGGTTTTGCCCTCTTTTTGTCCGCTGCTGGAACTTCTGCTCTTTTACCATCCGAATATGGCTAAGCTTTGGTTTCATCATTGAATTTTGATGAATGGTTACTGCAGCCTTGCACAATTGGAACGAGGTACTCTTGGACTGATGGTTCCCTAATAGGACCAGAGGTACTCTTGGACTGGTGGTTTCCTCCCTGTTGTCTGCTGAATAAGGCTTTCTTGTATTTTCTACCAACATTGATCTTCATCTACATCAGGTGTTACTATTGTACAGAGCATCATCATCGGCACTGTTATTTTGTTTTCCTAAATTCCCTGAGGAACTGGGTCTTATCCCACAAAACGCGTCGGATTTCTGAATTAATTATCCATTTCTCTAATTCAACTCTATGGAAATACATTTGCCTAATGACAATTTACTTATCTAATGTTATTGTTGGGGCTCTTAGACTCTTGCTCGTGATGCTTTTGCGTCCCGGACCAGAGCCTTCCCCCCTTTTTTGTTACCTATAGATTTATATTTTGTTTTGTTGCTCTACTATGTATGTATCTATTTTGGCTGACCAAATGGTCTCTCTTACCACTTATGTGGTTTTTATAATAAAACTTGTTCTATATTATCTAGTGTTTTCATGTTGTTCATCTTTATATTTTCATATGGTATGGTGCCTTAGAAAGCCCCATTAGTTTTTCTCTGTTAGGGTTTTTGCATTTCTCTTTATTTTTCAAGTTGAAATGAATCATATTGGGGTGCATCTGTTGTAATATAGCCAAGCAGTAATGTAACAGTAAAACAAAACAAT